TTCTCCTGCTGAAGTCGCAGTAGCCCCATTAATGGAACCTCCTGCAGTAAGCAAGTCAGCAGTTGCCTCGAAAGCTTCTAAAAAATCTTCTAAAAAAGCTTGCACTGCCAAATCCCCTGCCAAATCCCCTGCACTATCCCCTGTAGTTTCATCAGTTACTGCTGAAAGTGCGTCAATTCCAGCTCTTCCTCAGCCTCCGTCTCTTACTGTGATAGCTCCCCGAAAACAAGTTTTTGTATCTAGATTATCTTCTGATACCACTTGTGAATCCTTAGCAGCCTATATTGCTAGTAAATCGACAGCTAGTGTGTCTATTTCGAAGTTTAGTTTTGCTGAGCCTCGTGAAATAGCCTCGTTTAAAATAAGTGTTCCGCCGGAAGCTTTTACAATTATATGTGATCCAAAATTTTGGCCTCCACATATGATTGTTCATGAGTTCAGGCAGAAAAAACGAGTTTCGTCACTGCCTGTTGATTTACAGTCCAATCTTTCTTCGAAACCAACGTCAAGTTTGGCTTCAAAAAACTAGGCTCGCGATCCTTTTCGCTTAATATTCTGTATCAGAATGTTAGGGGACTTTTGTCCAAGCTTGGCAATTTATTTTTGAGCAGTTTTTCTTTCGATTCGAATATTATTGCGTTTTCAGAAACGTGGTTAAACCCCACGATTTTTGATAACGAAATTTTATCAGATGACTTTTGTATCTTTCGTCGTGATCGTCCGAGTCGTCGAGGTGGAGGCGTACTGATTGCAGTCAAATCCAACCTTCGGTCGGAAATCATTGATGTAGATGTGCCAAATGATGTTGAATTTGTTGCTGTTAAAGTAACTTTTCCGTCTTTTGTTCTATACATCACTTGCTCGTACATACCTCCCTCTTCTGATGTTCAGGTTTATATGCAACATATAACTTGTATTAAAGAAATTTTTACTCATCTTCGTGACAGCGACGCGTTTGTTGTGGTAGGTGATTTTAATTTGCCCAACATAGAATGGTCATACCTCAATGAATCAAATTATTTGGTGCCCTCTGCAGACCATGAATTTTTGGATTGCCTGTTGGACCTTTCTTTGTTTCAAATTAATCATATACCTAATCACCTTAGTAGAATGCTTGATCTCGTCTATGTCACTGACCCTAGTAGCGCAGTTGTCTCTAGGTCTTCACCCCTGTCAGTGCCTGAAGATACTTACCACCCTACTTTAGAAATCTCTCTGTCATTTTCAAATCACACCTTAATTCCTACACTTAATTCTAATAAAACAAGTCGTTGCTTTCACAAAGGAAATTTTTCTTTGCTTAATGAACTTATTTTAGCAACTAATTGGTCTTTTCTGTATAGTGCGGTTGATATCACCATAGCCGTTAAGTTTTTCTATGACACTATTAACGCTCTTTTTGATATCTGTATCCCAAATTGTGTCATATCGTCTGCGTCATCAAAACCTCCGTGGTTTTCGCCAAGACTTTCAAACTTAAAAAATGTTAAATCTAGATGCTTTAAAAAGTATAAGCGGTCGGGCCTATCTATTGACTTCTATAAATACTCTATAGCGAAATCCAATTTTGTCCTTAACTCACGGTGTTATAATAATTACCTTGCCCGATGTAAGATACAATTTGCACAGGACCCTAAAAAGTTCTATAAGTTCGTTAACTCTAAACGTAAAACTGCTTCGCTACCTTCATCATTTTTCCTTGGTGACAAGAAAGCCAGCAATGATTCTGAAGCTGCTGACTTGTTCGCCAACTTCTTCCAGTCAACTTATTCCTCTGTCTCTATTAGTAATACCTCTTATCCTTATAGCATTTCATCTTCCCACACTATTTACGCTCCCATAATTACTGATAGTTGTCTACTTTCTGCTATCAAATCCTTGAAGTCTTCGTACTCTCCTGGAGCAGACAACATTCCTAGTTGTGTACTCAAGGAATGTTCTAGTTCTCTTTTACAACCATTGCTTAAACTTTTTAATCTGTCGCTTAGTTCTTCAATCTTTCCAGCTATTTGGAGAGAATCTTTTATAATTCCTTTATATAAAAAGGGTGGTAAGTCTGATATTTCGAATTACAGAGGTATTGCAAAGTTGTCCGCTATACCAAAATTATTTGAAAAAATAGTTTGCGGCACTTTGCAGCATCTCTGCAAATCTGTCATATCTCCTGCTCAACATGGTTTTATTAAGAGACGGTCTACTACGACCAATTTGCTGGAATTTACTTCTTTGGTAAATGAGGCATTTATTCTAAAAATGCAGACTGATGTCGTTTACACTGACTTCAGTAAAGCATTTGACTCTGTTAACCATGACCTTCTGCTCTTTAAGCTTAGCCGCATAGGATTTCCTGCCGATTTGTTGCGTTGGATTTCGTCCTATTTAAAAAATAGGACCCAACGAATTTTGCTCAGGTCGCATATCTCTAAGCCCGTTTATGCATCATCAGGTGTGCCTCAAGGTAGTCATCTTGGCCCTTTACTTTTTACATTATTTATTAATGACCTCCCCTCTATCTTGTCACACTCTTATATACTTATGTATGCTGATGATGTGAAACTTATTCTATCTTACAAAAACCCTCTTCATTTTCAACGCCTGCAGGATGATCTGAACTGCATGCAATCTTGGTGCATAGTAAACCGCTTGTACCTCAATTGCTCTAAATGTAAGTTCATGACCTTTCATCGAACTTTGCCCCTCTTAGTCACATATACGATTGACAATGTGCCATTGCAGCGTATATCGACTGTTGAAGACCTTGGGGTTCTTTTTGATTCCAAATTGAACTTCAATCTTCACATTTCTAGCATTGTAAATAAAGCTAAGGGTGTACTTGGATTCATTAAACGATGGTCCAAGGAATTTACTGATCCTTATACTACCAAACTTCTGTACACGTCTCTAGTACGCCCTGTGCTTGAATACTGCTCTTGTGTCTGGTGTCCACAGTATAGAAAGTATCAGGAGCGTATTGAATCTGTTCAGAAGCAATTCTTGCTTTTTGCTTTACGCGGACTTAACTGGGATCCTAATGTTTTGATGCCATCGTATTCAAGTAGACTATTACTTATAAACCTTCCATCTTTAGAAAATCGTAGGACTGTTCTTGGAATAGTTTTTCTCCACAAGTTAGTTATCGGTGAGGTTGACTCCTCTGCCCTCTTAGGTCGCCTTAATTTTTCAGTTCCTTGTAGACCAACAAGGAATTATTTGCCGTTCATTTTGGCTAGATGCACAACCGATTACGCTTTGCACAATCGTTTTCGGGTCATTTGCAGTAATTATAATGATCTTTCACATTTACTTTCGACAGAACTCTCTCTCTGTTCGGTAAAGATTATTCTTTATAATTATCTTCGGGAAAATCTCTGACCACTTCTGCTGTGAGTCGGGGCATAGCTAGCCGGACTGGCATTTAAATTTTCCCCCACCGGGTTGTTTCTCTTTCTCTGTCTTTGTATCTCTCTTTCCCTCTTATTTTTTTCTTTTTCCTCTTCCTCTTTCTACACCTTACTTTTTCTAATTAGTTCTTAAGTAGAATTAATTCTTCTCTTCTACTTGCTATTTGTTTAGTTTGTTAGGTCTATAATGTCTCTGACCACATTTGGCTGTGAATCGGGGCATAGCTGGCCAACTGGCAAATAAAATTCCCCCAACGTGTCGGAGGCATTAATAGACGTCATTGTATAGCTCTCCCTTAGGCTTTCTTATCTTTTAAGTTTAACTTATAATGTAATACTATAAATATTTTTATTTTACTTTCTAATATTACCAATTATTTATTGACAGTAAATTTGTTGATTTTTATAAATAAATAAATAAATAAAAAGAATTAAATAAAAGTTCAAACAACAGTAGATAATTATATATAAATTATGTGTGCAAAGTTAGGTTTAGGTAGCATTTGAAATGTGGATGGTATTGAAGAAATTCTGTAGCAGCGGAAGGGGGGAAAATTAAAAACAAAATAAATAAACTCGTCCTTTCTCGGACCTAGGAGAATCTGGATACTAACTTTGGTTGTACCAGCTTTTATAGTTTCTGAGATCCTTGCGTCATCCAGACGGACAGACGGAAGGACATGTCTAGATCGATTTCTTTCGTCATGCTGATTCAGAATATACTTGTATATACTTTATTCCTTATGCATGTTACATACTTTGCACAAACCTAATATACCCTTTTTACCTTACGTGTACAGGGTATACAAAATTAAACTCGTGTTGCCTGGATTTTAGAAGAGTCTACATAAGCCAAGCCTTAAACTATCGACACGATTCGGGTGCTGAAGTTTGTGGGCGTAGTACTGAAGAGAAATTAATTCGTTAATAACTTCTTATAATTAACCGGGATGGGAGAAATCGATCTAGGCATGTCCGTCCGTCAGGATTTCGGAAATGGCTGAGCGCACATTCGAGTCTAGCTCCTAGGAAGCGTTGTCTTGTCCTTGACAAGGCTTGGCAGTCGCAGAAGTCGTTGTGATAGAGTCCTATTCTGGCGGCATGTGTGCCGACCAGCCAGGGCCTCGTGATGGCTCTAACTACGGCTGAGCATTGACTTCTGCTCAGTTTGCAGAGCTCTGAAGATCGCATCTTGTTACGATTGGGCCATGTCTGAGTGCGATTTTTTAGGAGGCTGTTTCGCTGGTCCAAAGTGGTTCCGAACTGACAGTTTACAGCTGGCCATGAGGTAGACTGAGACTGTTGCAATCTCGTGAAGAGATTTGCGACAGTTCTGTACTGACATCGAGTGCGATGTAATGGCATTTAACGATTTTATTGCCGCTTGGCTATCCGAGTATATACAGATTTCTCTGATGTGTGTGGCTGAGCGCACATTAACCAAACTAAAATTTGTCGACATTAACCAAACTTTGCACACGTAATCTTAATACAATTATCAACTTTTGTTTAAATTTCATGCCCTGTCGGGCTTGCTCGACTGTAGCGATCCCTCTTGTTTATATTTCACTTTTAAAATAAATATTTTCTTTATTACAGAATCTAATTTACATCTTTATTAGAGTCGCTGTTTAATATCGTAAGATCAATAAGAGGAAACATAACGGATCACACACAATGGCCAAAATATGGAATATGTGTCTCAGTAGTCTTATACAATTGGCTGCTGTTATTGGGATTGGTAAGTATTATTTTATTACTTGTTCTATTACGTAATTTTATATATTGGGAAACTCAAATGGTTAATATACATATCGCCATCTGGCGAAATTATGAATGTAAAATAAGAGAGAACGCTATAGACGTATATACAATAAAAGCACTGGCTTACACTGAAGCGCACCGAAGCAAAAGAAGAAAAATAAACAGCACAAATCGACTTTCAATTTTTAAGGGCTTTATTGCTAGCCATGCAAGGCTTAGCATACGCATAACATAAGTTGTGGACCTTAACTTAACAGCGAGAGAGCAAGAAAAGACAAACTATTTACAGCTGTTACATTCATGAGCGCACTTAAAATTATTGCTTACAACAACTTAAATCTATAATTCAAATAACTTAAATCTACAATTCAAATATTTGCTGACTTAATCAACTTATTTTAAATTTAAGGCATGAAATGCCCAAACATCGGCCGCGTTGAAGCATTTTGCTTCAAGACAGCTCGACCGGTACAGGCGCCAAGCGATGTATTGCCCTCTTAAATACGTCTACCTTCGTCCTTATCGTCGCGCACTTTTCCATCTGCGTCTTTTATCGTCTCTTGTCCTCGTGGACGAGTACGATTGTTCCGTCCTCCAGATTTGGCCGACCTACTGCCCTCTTTTGGCGCTGCTGCAGGCTCAGCAGGTACCGCAGGTATCAAAACCGCTGCTTGATGCCTGAGCTGCCAGCGTTGCAAGTAGGTCTCTCCGGGTTGCGCTGACCCGGTTTGCAGCGGTACGACTGTGCCACCTACGAGTAGGTGAGCTGGAGTGACCGCCTTGTCGTCGTTGGGATTCACTCCGTCCATCACGATTGGCTGCGAATTGAGGATGGCCTCTACCAGGACGATCGCCAGCTCATCCTGCCCCACCTTGGCGCTTCCTAATGCCTTGAGGAGGATTTTACAGACGTTTCCCATAGGCCGCCGAAATGCGGCGCTCGATGGGGAATAAACTCGAAGGTTATCCCTCTGGTGGCAGCATACGACGTGATGGTATCCTGGGTGCTGATAAAAGCGCGCTGCACCCACAAAGTTGGTGGCATTGCCACAGTAGATTCGACTGACAGCTCCACGGCGACCCACTAACGTGTATATACACATAATAAAGGAATTAGCAGTCAAGTGGGAAACAATATCAATGTGGACAGCTTTAGATGTAAAACACACAAAAACGGCAACGTACATCTTAACTGGCGCACTGCCACGCATTCCCAGCGTGACAGGAATTGAACCACAAAAGTTCATTTCGCTGACTTCAAACGGCCTACATCCATGTACCCGATCAGTAGGTAACTCTCCCACTATGTGGTTGGCTAGTATTGGCTTGTATCAAAAGCAATGCACACACTGCCGAACCACTGCGTTCCAGGCCAAGAGCGCACGAGAGCCTGCATGTCAATTGGTAAGGTGCAAGTACCGCAAATACAGAGTAACAAATCGCCATCCTTTTGGCACAAGCAATAGGAATTTCGCATTGTGGGGCAACGGCGCTTTGAGTAAACGGCCGCCAACTCATACCAACATCAAAGTCCGCTTTCCATACTGATCAGGACTCAGAAATGGATTAAGCTCCTGGTACGATGGTTGCAGGACCATCGACTTGTCTAATTTGGCTATTTTGGCTGCGAAAGCAGTATGCTGAATTAAGTTCACAATGGCCGAAAAAGCGAAGTGAAATTCAGCCGAAGTTGGCACAAGCGATATGTGCCTGACCCCTTTCCGTTTATAAATCGGAAAATGTTCGACACTATGCGGAGAATTTTTAAATACGACGACGACCTTTCAATTAAATCTAAAATTGGATACGAAGCATTATCGGCCGCGATGAGGACCGTCGCATTCTTCCGCTTCACCAGCACTGATTGCTCTTTGGTCAACTTAATGTGAAGATTAGTTGGCCAAAGGTTCTGGTCACTTTAAAAACTTTGGACCACCAAACTAATGTGAATCAATAAGTTCTGAAGTGGAACACCCACGAGAATTTAAGTGAGCTGGATTTTCTGCAGTCGGTACATGGCGCCAAGAGGCGTCTGATGTCAATTCCTGTATGGTAGCAACTCTATTGGCGGCAAATGTATTCAGATGTGAAGATGAGGTTGAAACCAATGCAGGACTACCTCTGGATCAGACAAAAATATGATTTGGTTAACAGGCACATGGAGAAGATGCCGAACTTTCTCCCACAAATTTACGAGCAAGTGGTACCGACATTGTTTTCAGAGGCGCTACCTTCGATTTTGCAGTCAGCAAATTCACAGTTACTGTGTGCTCTCGCTCAATTCGCAGGTAAATACAGCACCCATAAGCCCTTGTCGATGCGTCGGCAAAGCCATGAACCTGACATTTTGTGCCTTTGGTGACGCCGACATATCGGGGAATGCGTATAGCTTCAATCTCACAGAATGACTGCGCAATTGACTGCAAGTCGGACAGTAAATGGTCAGGAATTTGGTCATCCAAAGGGGATTTTTAAAGCCAAATTTCTTGCATCAGAATTTTTGGTCGAGTGAGAATCGGACAAAGTAGACCAAGCGGGCCGTACAACCTGGATATAAACGATCAAATCGAGCGCTTGGTGGGAGAAATGTCTATCTACATGTTCGATATCGAATATTTAAAAGCGTCTTCACGCGGGCTCTAAATGCGCCCCAACGTCTTCTTGTCCTCCTGATGGCCGATCACCATTTCGTCAGAAGGCAACGATTTAAATGTTTCACAATTTGATGCCATGGCGGTATGGTTGGCCAACCATCACAATGTCATTTAAAGACAATTGTGACGACATCTTGTTTGACGCGTCGAAGCCGACTCTTAACTTTGTTGATGTGCTTTGTGGTCTTAGCACGCATTGGTACGGTATAAAATAATGCGGCTCTCTCGGTACCCTATTCTCAATAGCATGTTTTTTCGCAAAGCACTTGTTTTGGGGTGTACAAACTCTGATCGGACAAAGTTGGAACTTCTTCAAACTCCCAGAATCTACGGATGAGACTATCTAGTCAATGACATTCTGGATTTCAAAAAGAGCTTTGATTTAAGCTCACGAGGGATGTTGACGGCAGCTCAGTGAGCCCGCAGAACGGCAACGGCCAGCTACAATCCAGTAAACTGCAAATTCTGCCGTCAGCTCAAATTTGTCAATTCGAGAACCTTTAGAAGTTTGAACGATATGATGTACTTCAGACTTTCGTTTGCCTATGCCTAATAAACAAATGTCTTTGCGCTCCCTCTTAAGCTTTAGAACTCTGGCCAAGTCCTCGGTCATAAAATTGTCCTGTCAACCAGAGCCTAAAAGTGCCCTGGCTAATTGGTAGGACCCTGACTGGTCCATTACCTTAACAATTGCTGTTGCCAAAATGACTTGGTCGGTCACTGTCGTGGCGTGGTTCACCGCCGACGTTTACGTTGATACTGCAGATTGTGCTACCACCGTGTGACTTGAAGTCACAGCTTGCGAAGTGTTTGTACTATATTCGTAATTTTACAAGAGCGTGTGATGCGGCTTCGAACAGATTCTGCAACGTCCAGACTTGCAGGACTTAGTCGTATGACATTTTCGCAAACAGTTAATGCACAACTGGACCCCAAATTTGAATCGCTTGTCTCTAGCGATCGCTGAGAATTGAGGAGACACTTGTATGTAGTGGTTATTAGACTGACAAAACGGACACTTAGGAGTCAATGGTTGACTTGGCTGTGGTACTACCAACGCTGTTTTACGATTCCTTTTTGACCCATCGGAACTTGGCTTCTTAGGCCAGCCAGGCGATGCCTCCTCAGTAGATAGATGCTGGTAGCGTTTATTGAGAGTGCCCTCGCATTCTTCCCAAGATGGAAATTGACTGTAGTCGAGGCACTTTTCCTATTTGGATCGAGTGATGAAGTCTACTTTACCCATAACCAAATGTATGAGTATGACGTTTGCTATTTGCTTCTCATCACCTAATGACAACAGCGATTCATAAATTGCCCTTACATTATCTAATAAGGAGCGGAAAGATGCATCAGAAGGCCAAATCATTTTGGGCAAGTCGAACAGCTTGGACAGCTTCTCTATTGAACTCATAGAGCCCCTTTTCGATGGCCACATGGAAAAATCCGTTCTCCAGATCCATGACTTTTGCAGCTTCCCCAATATATAATCAATAAGGGGTACCGGTAAGCAATCTTTCAGCACCATGGAGTTTAATTTACGAAAATCGATGCAAATTCGACGTGTGCCATCCCATTTGTTCACCAACACCATCCGACTTGCGAAGTTTGATGAGGACTCTCGAATTATGCCTTCACGCAGCTATTGGTTTATCTGCTTGTCAACTTTTTCTTCTTCAGCTACTGCCAGACGACTTGTCGAAAAGGAATAATTTCTCCATCTGGTACAATTTAAAGTTGAACTACGCACTCAAGAACGTCTTCAGCCGGCTTATAATCGTTGATCAGTGCCTGAACTTCACACTTTTGCTGTGGGGGTACATCTATATCAGTATCTGTTTGTACAACTTGATTAATACTTAACTCAATAAATTCTTCAGTTTTCTTCCCGGGAGGGGAAGAAAACTGAAATACCTCCTGCGATGATGTAAACAGGAATTTGCTTGTAAAGTCGTAGCCCAAAAGTGCGTCATATGCTACGTGTCTGTCTGCTACGACGACAACTTGATGTGAGGTACGCAAGCCATCTACGTCCACGTCCGCGAAGAAATAGCCCAGTGGGCGAGTCACCTTGTTGCCCAAGCCACGCAATTGTCTGCCAAAATTCTTTAACTCTCCACCGCTGATTTTGCTAAAGATGAAGAAAAACCATGATGGTAAGATTTGTTCCAGTGTCGACCCACTCCACCAGATCGTTAAATATATCTTTTTTCACGCGCTTACTGCTGTTTACAACGTTTATTGCGGCAACTACCATAGGGCAATTTCGAAAAATGTGTCCGCTCTGCTTGCAACACTTCGTCTGATCTTTGCAATTTTTACGCATATGATCGGACGAGCCACAATTAAACCAACCTCTTTTTATACTCTGTACATGAAATGTACAAGAGTATATTAGGTTTGCGGGAGCTGAAAAATGTAACAGGCAGAAGGAGGCGTGGCAGACCCCACAAAGTATATATATTCGTGATCAGCGTGACAAGACGAGTCGATCTAGCCCTGTCTGTCTGTCTGTCCGTCTGTCCGTCCGTATGAACACCTGGATCTCAGAAACTATAAGAGATAGAGGCACCAAACTTTGCACAAAGATGCGTTATATGTGTACGCTGTGCAAGTTTGTTTTATTTTTTTGATTTTCCCCCCACTTCCCCTCTATGGGGGTTTTCCCGATTTTCCATTCGTATAATCGCCTATATCTCGGAGACTATAAGACCTACGGACACCAAATTTAAGTCCCAGATGCCTTATGTGAATACGCAGAAAATGTATATTTTGGAATTTCCCTCCCTCCCTCCTCTCCCCCTCAAATGCGATTTTCTCTAACTCCCGTAATTCTTGGAATTTCGAACTAACATTTTGCAAATACCCCCAGTTAGTAATTATGTGTCCGTATGCCAAGTTTCACTATGATAGACCGATTTAACAAGAAGTTATAGCCATAAATATATTTGCTGCGGTAAATGTGCAATTATAAACCCTTTACGTGAGTTCGAATACCGAGAGAGGTAAAATCGATCAAATTTTTTTTTTTTTTTCTTAATTTTTTTATTTTCTATAATTATTGTAAACATATGTACAGAGTATTTCAAAGTCGGGACTCCCGACTTTAGCTTTTTTACTTGTTTTCCAATGTTTTCTGTGTTTACACTTGTTTTTTTATCGACTTTTCTGCATCTGCCACTCGTTCGTATATTTCGTACTGGCTTTATAACTCTTTGAATGTTTTACAGTTATACAGGTGGTATTTAAAATCGCTTTTCAAATTAAGTCCATCAATTATGTATCGAATCACCGACGTAGTGTCCACTTTACCGAGCGAAACAATTTTTTTCATTCGCAAAATATATTCTTTGAATGTCTCTTCTTTCCGTTTTTTACGTCCACGCAACTCAGCATGAATATATGGCGTGCAACTCCTCATAATTATAAATAACAGCAGACTCCAGTACAAGTTTGGCCGTTTGTGTTATTTTTGCACGCGCTAAAACATATTTTTGTGCATCACTTAAACCATAAGCCTGTGCGTTTATTTCGAAATTATTAAACCAATGCTTTACAGGAATGCTACTACCGTCAATGAATGGTTTTATTGCTGGAAAGCTCTCCGCACTAGTTATACTCTGTACATAAAATGTACAAGAGTATATTAGGTTTGTGGGAGCTGAAAATGTAACAGGCAGAAGGAGGCGTGACAGACCCCACAAAGTATATATATTCTTGATCAGCATGACGAGACGAGTCGATCTAGCCCTGTCTGTCTGACTGTCCGTCTGTCCGTATGAACACCTGGATCTCAGAAACTATAAGAGATAGAGGCACCAAACTTTGCACAAAGATGCGTTATATGTGTACGCTGTGCAAGTTTGTTTTATTTTTTTGATTTTCCCCCCACTTCCCCTCTATGGGGGTTTTCCCGATTTTCCATTCGTATAATCGCCTATATCTCGGAGACTATAAGACCTACGGACACCAAATTTAAGTCCCAGATGCCTTATGTGAATACGCAGAAAATGTGTATTTTGGAATACCCCTCCCTCCCCCCTCTCCCATGCAAATCGCGATTTTCTCTAATTCCCGTAATTCTTGGAATTTCGAACTCAATGGTTTGCGGGAGCTGAAAATGTAACAGGCAGAAGGAGGCGTGGCAGACCCCACAAAGTATATATATTCTTGATCAGCATGACGAGACGAATCGATCTAGCCCTGCCTGTCTGTCTGTCCGTATGAACACCTGGATCTCAGAGACTATAAGAGCTAGAGACCTCCTATGGGGGTTTTCCCGATTTTCCATTCGTATAATCGCCTATATCTAAGAGACTATAAGACCTACGGACACCAAATTTTAGTCCCAGATGCCTTATGAGAATACGCAGAAAATTTGTATTTTTGAATTTCCCTCCCTCCCCCGCAAATCATAACTCCCTTAATTCTTGGAATTTCGAACTCAAACTTGGCAAATACCTTAGTTATTATAAGTCCAAATGCCAAGTTTCATCATGATAGGCCGATTTAACAGGAAGTTATAGTCATATATGTACATAAGACCAATTAGTGCCCGCAGCTGTTCTTGTTGTTACTGCTTTGCTCAGACACACGAGACATACACAGACACACACAAATACACACATACACGCATAATTATTCAACACATATGTACAGAGTATTTCAAAGTCGGGATACCCGACTTTAGCTTCTCTACTTGTAAACAATAGTAATTGAATTACTTGTTACAACATTTCATTATTTTGCATAATTTTTTCTGCATTGTCGCGTTCACTCTTCTTTTCATCTTCGCACATTTCGACTGATCTTTTTGGTGCTTGCATTAGCTCCCGTTTCGCTGGTTTTATCTCTCTTTGTTGCTCGTGTGTTATATGTTGGTCCCACTCTCACCACCGTGCTACGCGTCTGTACCTTGCCACCAGAAATCCGTGCGTCTTTTGAATTCCTAACGGGTTTTGTGACTGCCTGTACCGCAGCGTTTGTTCTACCCATTACATTTTCAAGGCCAGTGCGTTTAACTCTTGTACTCTCTTCTTAAGCAACTTATGCAGCTTATTTGGACACAACATTTTTTTTATTAACACGCACCAATACCAATTGTCTGTTAGTACGGACGAGTCCCCAAATGTAAGATAGGATATGTATTCCAATCAGTATACGTCTAACATAAGTTGTGGCCCTTAACTTAACAGCGAGAGAGCAAGAAGGGACAAACTATTTACAGCTGTTACATTCATGAACGCACTTACAACTATTGCTTACAACAACTTAAATCTATAATTCAAATAACTTAAATCTACAATTCAAATATTTTCTGACTTAATATACTTATTTTAAATTTAAGACTGAAATGCCCGAGCACCTATATACTTTTGTACAATTCATGTACAGAGTATAAACATTAATTAAATGTAGTTTATTCTACCTTCACTGTATGAAAAACTTTAAAGGCTTTTAGTTTTTATTATTATTTATATTTATAACCTTTCGTTACAGTCTCTATAAGCAGCATTTTGGCTGCAAGTCCACCAGATGCAGATCAGAAGGGTCCAGTTTTTCTGAAGGAACCAATTAATCGTGTTGATTTTTCAAACTCCACCGGTGCTGAAATAGAGTGTAAGGCCAGTGGTAATCCCATGCCCGAGATTATTTGGATTCGCAGCGATGGTACAGCTGTAGGCGATGTACCCGGTTTGCGACAAATATCGTCCGATGGCAAACTGGTATTCCCTCCGTTTCGAGCAGAAGACTATCGACAGGAGGTACATTCACAAATATATGCTTGCTTGGCGCGAAATCAATTTGGATCAATTATTTCGAGAGATGTTAACGTACGAGCAGGTAAATTATCTATTTTAAATTTGCGAGTGCAAGGCATATTCTGGAAAATAAGTTGCAAGGGCTTTTCTGATAGAATTCGCTACAGTGCACTTAATCCAAGAAAGTGTTATATCTTTAAACATTTTCTCATTTCTCAATTACATATGTCCGTGTATCCGTGCATCAACTTGAACGTCTGTCAGCCTGGCTGTATGTTCATTAAACCGAATTCTTTCTATATGTAATAACCTTAATTAAAGTGTGTAATTTTGGTGACTTTTCATCATTCTCAAGTTTTTATAAATTAAAATAAAATATGAAATGGGTATTTTATATCTTAATTTTTGTAAAGCTATTGGAAATTTTAGAAAAGCATTATCAACATTAAAAAAAGATAAAGATAAAAACGGTAATCACCTAATTTGTAACTAAGATAGCCTTTCACCCTTTTGGTACAGGCTATAAAAATAAATAAAAATAAAAACCGATGTATAAATAGGTGGTATATTATGTGATATAATGTAATATGAAACTAAATCCAGAACATGTGTTGCACTCAAATCTTAACTTTTTAAATTTACAGCAAAAGTCCAAAATCTTTGACATCGTTGGGATTGATTTATAAATGTAGGCTTTGTGTTGAAGGTTGATCTTAATTTCCAAAGACAGGATTCTCCAAACGACATTTGTTTTTTATACCTGAAAAGTGCAAAGTTCCCTACATTTAATGTCGTCATATAGCATTCGAAAATATTATGTTCGGTTTACTATAAATGCGAGATTACTTACTTTTGAGAAAGTTTGAAAATAATAACTTGTACTACATCGATGGGTTGGGTTTATTTATATTGCCTTTAATTTCAACATTAGTTTCTCCAAAGATTGTAGTTTTCAATAACTAAAACGGAAAAAACTCGTACTTAAAAAGTAACCTTTTAAGGAATTAATTTTGAGACAAACCGAAAAGTATTTGTATTTTATTTATAGTAAGTTCTGTGATGGTTTATTACGGACGGACAACATTTACATCTTTATGAACTCCGCGCCGTGGTTCGAACCGAGACAGAGAGCCTACTCTCTGAAACAGACTCGCATTATGTGGCACCTATGCCAGGCCACTCAGTCTAGAAGTACGAAATTTTCTTAGTATGCATATTATTTGTTTGCTAAGTCAGATTGAAGGATAACACCAGATTTTATTATTATCTACGCTCAAATTTACATTCAAATTTCAGTTGTTGGGCAGTATTACGAAGCTGATGTGAACAAGGAGCACGTTATTCGTGGCAATTCAGCAGTTATTAAATGCCTAATTCCGTCATTTGTAGCTGATTTTGTTGAAGTTGTATCTTGGCATGCTGATATGGATGAAAATTACTTTCCAGGCACTGAATATGGTGTGCAGCATACTTAGCGATTTTCCATCTAATGCTAATTAAATAGTTTATTTTAAGGCCTGCCTAAAATATTGCCACTTTATTAGAATATTTGTTTTTAATTATATTATACGTATTGATGTTATTTCTTTTTTGTCTAGCCGTTTTGCAATATTACGAAGAGGATATTCACAAGGCTTTTGTTATACGCGGCAATTCTGCTATCCTAAAATGCGACATACCATCATTTGTAGCGGATTTTGTTGATGTTGTGTCCTGGCATACTGATCAAGAAGAGAGTTTTTACCACAGCACTAAATATGGTGTGTCTTACAAGTATTTTGCAATATGTGTGTGCACAAGAAAAACTTACCCCTTCTGGCTACCAATTAGGAGTTGCACACAATGTTAAAAAATACATACATACATAGACTACTGATATCAAATTACTATATGTAATAGGTGCAGGTACCGTTTTTGCTGTATATAAGTACATATTTCAATGTGGTGCCCAAGTAATTTTTACCGTGAACTCTTTATACCCTGTACCTGTAGTGTAAAAAGTGTATATTAGGTTTGTACAAAGTATGTAACAGGCAGAAGGAAGCATCAAAAGCATCTCAAAAACTTTAAATGCTGGAATAATCAACGTTGGTAACCCCCCTCCCCTTTCCCTAGCAACAGAATTTCGTCATTACTGTCTATAGTACATTTCAAAAGCTACGTAAAGCAAACTTGTGACAAAAACAATCTCTATACTACTTTTCTACTACTATACTACTACTCTACTTTTGTTATAAATTTCATCCAAATCGGTCAATTGTTAAAAAAGTTATTAGCGAAACAAGTTCACTCCAGCGCTCTTCTTCTTTTTTGTCACGCCTCCTTCTGCCTGTTACATTTTCCATTTTTCCAATATACTCTTGTACATTTCATGTACAGAGTATTACAAGAAAGGAATGCAAAAGTCGAGCAGGCTCAACTGTTAACAAGTAAAAAAGCTAAAGTCGGGTGTCCCGACTTTGAAATACTCTGTACATATGCTTACAATAATTATAGAAATTAAAAAAAAATTAAGAAAATTAAAACAAGAGAGAACGCTACAGTCGAGCAAGCCCGTCAGTAAAATAGCCTGTACTCTCCACAAAATAGGAAAAATAAAAAATTAAAAATAAATTAAATTATTAAAAAAAGTGAATTAATTAATTAAGTAATTAAATTAAATTAGAAAACATGTTTATGTTCAGTTTTAACAGCATACATTTACATCACGTGCCTATGCGTGTTTATATGCGTGTATGTATGCAGCACAAAGTTGAACCAAAGCAGCAACAACAACAACAGCTGCGGGCAGCGCTTCCGAATTGGCATATCATATCGCTTTCTTCAGAATTGGCATATCATGATGAAACTTGGTACATAAGCACTAACTGGATGTACCTACCAAAATTGATTTCAAAATTCCAAGAATTACGGAAGTTATAAGAAAAAACACAAATTGCGGGGGAGTGGGGGGTGCATCAAAATTTAAAAAACAAACTTGACCTGCCTAGGGCTTAGGGGAACCTGGATGCCAAGTTTGGTAATTCTAGCTCTTGTACCTTCTGAGATCCTTGCGCTCATACAGACGGACGGACGGACATTGCTATATCGACTCGGCTTGTCACCCTGATCAAGAATATATATACATTGTGGGGTCTCCCACGCCTCCTTCTGTGTGTTACATACATGCGCACAAAACTAGTATAGCCTTTCACCCTTTGGGTACAGGCTATAAAAAAAAATTTTGATCGATTTTACCTTTCTCGGTATTCGAACTCACGTAAAGGGTGTATAATTGCACATTTGCATAGCAATTGCGTCTGTGTAAGTGTATGTATGCCTATGCGCATCTATTCGTGTCTGTGTAAACATGTTAGCAGTCAACCAAACAGCAACATCAGCAACAGTCGCGGGCAGCGCTGCAGCAGCAAATATATTTATGGCTATAACTTCTTGTTAAATCGGTCTATCATAGTGAAACTTGGCATACGGACACATAATAACTAACTGGGGGTATTTGCAATTTTAGTTCGAAATTCCAAGAATTACGGGAGTTAGAGAAAATCGCGATTTGCGGGGGAGAGGGAGGAGGGAGGAGGGAGGGAAATTCCAAAATATACATTTTGCGTATTCACATAAGGCATCTTGGACTAAAATTTGGTGTTCCTAGGTCTTATAGTGTCCGAGATATAGGCGATTATACGAATGGAAAATCGGGAAAACCCCCATAGAGGGGAAGTGGGGGGAAAATCAAAAAAATAAAACAAACTTACACATCGTACACATATAACGCATCTTTGTGCAAAGCTTGGTGTCTCTACCTCTTATAGTCTCTGAGATCCAGGTGTTTATACGGACAAACTGACAGACGGACAGACAGACAGGGCTATATCGACTCGTCTCGTCATGCTGATCAAGAATATATATACTTTGTGGGGTCTGCCACGCCTCCTTCTGCCTGTTACATTTTCAGCTCTCGCAAACCTAATATATTTCTGTACATTTCATGTACAGAGTATAAAAACACTGTACCACCCCATAAAAAGCAAAAAAATTAATTTAAAAAATTGTAATTAATTAAATTAAATATAAAATATTCAACACATACATATTTAGTATGCGTGTTTGTATACTTGTCCATAGCCGCAACAACAACAACAACTGAGGGCAGAGCTGCGGGTGTTACATACATTCGCACTAAACTAGTATACCCTTTTACCCTTTGGGTACAGGGTATAATTAGTATGCATTTGGCCGTTGTACTCACTTGGGTACAGACTTAAAAACTCAATAACAAAAATATTTCTTTTTTTCGTTAAGTTACCTATGTCATCTCGACTCCCGTTAATTCGAAATTCGAGGGACTCTTAAAATATTAGGAATTATCGAGTGTTTGAAATATCAAATGGTTCGAAATTTGTGAGAGAAAATAAATAAAACTTAGAATTATTAAGTGTTGATCAATTATTACTTATTATCAATTATTACAAGTCGATTTTTGGTCTACTTGGGGGTATGAAGTACGGCGCGACGGGCGGGACTAGCACCTGTACGTTGATACAAGTTTGAACTTGTCGCGAAATGTACATACATACAATCTTACCTCCTCTTTCTCTATGCAACATTGAATTGTCAAGTGCTGGACGCCGACGAATTAAGGCATCGTTTTGTTAAATAGCAATGATTTTATCGTTCGAATTATTGACTCAGTTCGAAATATAAAGACATGTGGAAATTCCAAAATACACATTTTCTGCGTATTCACATAAGGCATCTTGGACTAAAATTAGGTGTTGAGTGCAAACATGTTTACACAGACACGAATAGATGCGCATAGGCATTCATACACTCACATAGACGCAATTGCTATGTAAATGTGCAATTATACACCCTTTACGTGAGTTCGAATACCAAGAGAGGTAAAATCGATCAACATTTTTTTTTATTCTCTTAATTTTTTTAATTTCTATAATTATTGTAAACATACATATGTACCGAGTATTTCAAAGTCGCTTTAGCTTTTTTACTTGTTTTATTCTTAGAATTTCGAACTTAAATTTTGCAAATGCCCCCAGTTATTATGATTACGTTTTCGAATGCCAAGTTTCATTATGATAGACCGATTTAACAGGAAGTTATAGCCGTAAATATAATTGCTGCCCAAGCGCAGCCCGCAGCTGTTGTTGATGTTGGTGCTTTGGTTGACTACAAACATGTTCACACAGACACGAATAGACATGCATACACTCACATAGATGAAATTGCTATTTAAATGTGCAATTATACATCTTTTACATTAGTTCGAATATCGATAGAAGTAAATTTTCTTCTTATTCTACACATATGTACAGAGTATTTCAAAGTCGGGACTTCCGACTTCAGCTTCCCTACTTGTTTTTTTTTTCAAGAATAGACGGTATAAACTTAAATGACTATAAACTATAAATGACTTTATCAGAAAAGCATCCTGATCCTCACGCAGTTCTAATACCTTTTATTCTTTTTATTGCCAGGACCTTTGTTAGTATTCTTGTATATTTGCAATTCCTGTTCAACAGTATTATTTGCTTCTTTGATTTATAGTTGTTGCTCAATAATACGATACCGATGTAAATAAGGCTTACGTCATTCGTGGTAATGCGATCGTTTTAAAGTGCGAAACGCCCTCATTTGTGACCGATTTTGTTAGCGTGGTATCATGGCAAATGGATGAGAACGAACTCTTTTTTCCAGGCGATGAATATGGTTTGTTTTACAAACAATGTGCTATGCAAAGTATAGTATGATCACAAATAGTATAAATCCAAACCTAAGCTAATCCAGTGCTTCTATCAATATATATCAAAACATATGTAAATATTCATACGTATAAACATCTTTTATGAGAATAAAAATAATCCGAACATAAATCATAATATAAAATACCATTACAAAAAGAGCCAGTTGAAATCGACAGACAATCAGATTATTCCCATTATGTGTTTAAATATTTTCACTTTTCCCCTTTTAGTTGTGCGTCAATTTTATGAATCAGAGGTTAATAATGAATATGTTATACGTGGAAACTCAGCTGTGCTTAAATGTTCTATACCATCATTTGTTGCGGACTTTGTGGAAATTATATCCTGGCAAGATGAGAAGGGTCAAATATTTACTACTTTCTATGAAAAAAAAGACATTGGTACATAGTATATTTATACAGATGTTTGGTAGACCTATTTAACAACATATACTCGTATATCCGAATTTATACCTAATTTACTTAATTTTTAATTACATAAAACATAAAATAGAAATCAAATGGTGTCAAGGTGTCCTCTTTTATTTTCAAAACTTCCTATTGCAAATTCTTATTGCAGTCGTCAATCAGTACTACGAAGGGGAAGTTGTCTCCGAGTACGTAATAAAGGGCAATACGGCAGTTTTAAAATGTACTATACCCAGCTTTGTCACTGATTTCTTAAGTGTTGAGGCCTGGGTTGCCAGCGATGGAACAGAATATCTTCGGCAGTCTAATTTTGGTAGGGTGTTACATATAGTATTTAGCTTATCATTATTTGATATCCATCGACCATCAACCCAAACCTACCACTATTATTTAAAATTAGCATGGTTTTTAATGTCCTTTGTTTGCGATTTGCTTACAGTCGTTAATCAGCATTATGGAGCTGATATATTAATGGAGTATGTGATCAAAGGCAATGCAGCAGTGCTGAAGTGTTCAATTCCTTCTTTTGTTTCTGAGTTTGTTCACGTTGAATCGTGGATTGATGAAGAAGGCACCGAATTGCGTCCCACAGAAAATATTGGTACACATAAGAGGCGTATTTTTGATTAAGCTACTATGATAACTGGGATACACTATATAATACCATATACTTTTTTTTGTTTTTATTTCATATTTTAATCGGTTTTATGATCCAACTACTACAATTTATATATATTTTTCTTTAACTACAATAACTCGGTTTCTTTCTGATACTATATAAAATATTCTCATTATTATCCTCCCTTACTTGTTTTTGCAGTTGTAAATCAGTTTTATGAGGCAGAAATTTTAACGGAGTATGTTATAAAAGGCAACTCTGCCATTTTGAAATGTTCAATACCTTCGTTTGTTACCGATTTTGTGAGTGTTGAGGCATGGATTGATGAAGACGGGAAAGCGTTGCCGTTCAATGACAATTTTGGTGCGATTTAATATCATCCCTAGTCTAAGGCTAAATAATACAAAAATATAATGTCCTTTCCTTTTGTATTGAAGTTTCCTTTATCGCTTATATTGCTCAGTTGTTTCACAGTTTTATATCACCGAAGCCGAAAATGAGTACGTCATTAAGGGTAATGCAGCCATTGTAAAGTGTAAGATACCATCCTTTGTTGCCGATTTCGTCCACGTTGAAACCTGGCTAAATGATGAAGGCACCGAACTATGGCCGAATTATACAAAAAGCGCTTTTGGTATAGCGAAGTACAAGTATATTCATCCACATAGAATGCTAATTAGATTTTTTCATAATTCCCATACCCTTACATTATTTTAATGCTTAATTTCAATACCTCTTCTGCGTTAGTCGTAGTACAATCTTATGAATCGGAAGCTGACAATGAATATGTTATTCGTGGAAATTCTGTTGCTATGAAGTGTGAGATACCATCATATGTAGCCGATTTTGTGTACGTTGATCACTGGTTGGACTCGGAGGGACACATTTATTATCCAAATAGCGTTGTGGATAACGGTACCTTATAATTTTAAAAATGTTGATGTTAATGTGACCAAGTTTCCAAAAGCTTTTTTAAATTAATGAATATTTAATTTATTTAGAAATTGTTTCTGTTTGTTTTAGTTGTACATCAATTCTATCAAACCCGTGTCATCGACGAATTTGTTTTAAGTGGAAACTCAGCTACACTGAAATGCTTAGTGCCATCTTTTGTGGTCGATTTTATTGAGATTGTAGCTTGGGTAGATGAGGGAGGTCAAGAGATCGTACGTCCATTTTCCACTGAGTCTATGGGTAAACTTTGATAATTGTTGATAAAAATCCTTTTTCCTGTCCTTTAGCAATTAAAGTATTTGTTTTTCTAATCTCATTTCATCTTATAACATATGACATATCGTTTCAGTGGTGAAACAGTTCTTTGAGTCACAAGTTTACGATGAGTATGTCATTAAGGGCAATGCAGCAATATTTAAATGCCAAATCCCATCGTTTGTCGTGGATTACATTGATATAATAGATTGGATTGACACCGAAGGCGGTGTTTATGACAGAAGCATATCCGGTAAAATTTTCTACACAGTCTTTTAAAAGATGGTTAGGAACATTAAGGGTCAAATCCACATAACCTCTTCATTTTAAATTACTTGTAATTCATTTAAACTGACCCAGCTTTTTGTTAATTTTACAGTCGTGCCCCAGTCCTACAACATAAATGTGATGGACGAATCTATTTTACGTGGAAATAGCGCAATACTTAAATGTCATATACCAAGCTTTGTTTCTGACTTCATTGAAGTTGATTCTTGGGTTGAAAATGAAGACCGTGAAATTTATGCTCAGACTGATGCTAGTGGTAAAATATGTAATCTTAATGTTTGTTTTGGGTTTCTTGATATATTTCTTTACCAAAATATTTGCTTGAGTTTCGCTCTGATAATGCTCGAGTTATACCTTAAATAGGTAACCTGCGCCTTTAGGACTTTTTAAATGAATTGTTGTTGGTATTGTTTATTAATTATTATTTATTGTTTAATACATTATTATTTTGGTCCTTCCCTTCTAATTCCATGTTCCGCAATCCAAGAGTCATGCCCGACTTGCCCATTGAATCCTTCAAACCTACCATTTTATGTAGCTTCTTATCATAGTTTAGATATGTAAGATCTATAATAAGCAATTAGGTAAATTCTGTATATTTAGGAATCTATTATTATTATTGTTTTTATTATTATTATTATTATCAATTATAGTAATAAGCAAATAAGCTTCTTATCTTCTGGTCTTTCATATAGTTTTGTTTCTTGCATTGTTTTGATTCACCAATTTTACGATACAAATAATTTTTACCTATTCCAGTTTGGTCATCAATGGTACACTTACATAAACATTTTGGTTTACCGCTTTAATATTTATGAATCTGGTTTCATGTTGTATCTATCCAAAAGACCTTTCATCATTTTTGCATTTATAGTATTCATTCATTCACTTTAAATTTGTCTGTTAATGATTTATTTTTGCCGATTGGTGATTTTGATCTGGTGACCGCTTGTGATGAATGTTTTTTAAAAATATTGTGATTTTAGTATATTCTGACAAAAAGTCGCAGTCGCAGGTACAAATTTAGCCTCACTGTGTTTTAGATAATTGGTCACATTAATAATGGACAACGGAAAATGTAATTTTCAATAAAAACCGGTAATTTCAGCTGATGAAAGCAAATGGCCTGTGAGTGCCGAAAAGCTCCTCCTATCTATATATAAAGATAAAAAAGAGAACTTCCGCAACACGAAGATTATGAAAAAGACATTGTGGTGGAATATTTAAAATGAAATGGAAAAATAAAGTGTCCGAGGATTGCTCCAATGACACCAGGAAATCCACTAGATTTCCTTTGAAAAATTTGCGCTGTTACAGCTTGCTGGGGTGCACTTTGCCATTTGATATATTGCGGAATAAGTCTCGACAAAATTCGGACTATGTAGTGAAATATTTTGTGGGCCAATTTTTTGCTATATTAAATCGGTCGCCTGGCCAGAATCCAAATTGTGAAAAGCAGCAGCAACTGCAATGACAAGTGACTGAGAAACGCAATGAAAATTGAAATACCCATGTACCGAATAGGGAGACCATACCTCGAAAGTAGTCCGTGACATTCTGAAATGCTCCTTGAATTGGTCCATCTTGGATTCGCTCCCTTGTCAGTTTGCGGTACCCCCAATATATTTTATTAATTGACGATTTCGTGAACATATCAGGTTTTATTTTCTTTTTATGCGTTTCAGCATCAATAACCAATAGAATTCGCAAAATGTATGCGGGCAACATTTTTGTTATTGTTTGATAACTACTCACACTCAACTGTCAGTCACAATAGAAATCGCAATTCAACCCCGAAATCATAATATTTTCCCGATTGTTTTTTTGTTTTTGCGTTAAACATTTTTACTCAAATGAATCAAAGCGGTCACAAGCTGAAATCAGTAATGATCGATCACAAATCACAAATCGCTTCAACCTGGTGAAAAATTTAAATTTAAGCTTATGTTTCTCAACTCTATAACAACATTTAACCATACCCAACAATCTGCAGCTGGGTACTTTGATTTGATAAGTAGTAAAATAATGAACAATATTTGTATAATAAATTGTCTCACAAATGTGACAAATCCAAATAATCGGTGAAATAAAAAATAATATGTTCATTTTAATTCAAATACTAATATTTATTAAAAATTTACAATATATATCTATCTGCAATCTTCTTATAAGAAAGGTCAAAACCTACGCTAATTTTTTTGGTATGGTTATATGTATATATGTATAATAGTAAAATTCAGTATATTAAAATAAATAATAGTAAGCAAATAGTTAATATAAGAATCCAAACACAAATTGTGTTAACAGAACATAAATTCACGTATAATTTTTCTTGTCTGTTCGTTTAATGCAAATCAGATGGGAAATACCTTGTGTTGCCTTCCGGTGAGCTACATATTCGTGAAGTTGGGCCTGAGGATGGCTACAAAAGCTATCAGTGCCGCACCAAACATCGCTTGACTGGCGAGACACGCCTGAGTGCGACCAAAGGACGATTGGTTATTACAGGTAAGTTAGTTTTGTTACCCAACTGAACTATAATTTACCTTAAGGTATATATGTAATGTATATAAAGATGATGAAATTTTCAGTTATCAGTTCAAGTTTTAAATTGTGCACTCATTTACTTACAAAATAATTTTAATGTTTTGTGTGCAAAGCAAATGTAAATTTAACTGGAAGTTTCATTTAAAGTGGCATTTAAACGGACAATTTCGATTGGTTTATCAAATTTTTAATATTTACCAAACTTAAAAAAAAAATTAGTTTACTTATAAAAGTAAAAGTTTGGTAAATGAAGCCTAAAAATATTTTTTTTATTGAATCTCTTCCCTGTGCTCAAGAAATAAAAACGGTAAACGGCATGGTATGATAGAATGAAGCATACAGAAGAAAGCGAATTAGAACCTGCAAAGTATATAAACTATATTCTTTATCCCTAAATGATATTACTAAATAAAGATATGTCCATCCGTATAAATGCAAGGATACCGAAAATTATTAGAGCTAGAAACATTAAATTTTATATTCATACTCTTCTAAGCCCTAAGTGAATAAGTTTCATAATACAACAGTCTAATAATTTTACTTATTCATTGCCATTATTTGGCATTTGGCAATTTGGCATTATTGTTGACTTACAAGTACTTACGTCAAGTTTCACCGCGATAGGTAATTTTTAAAAAGTTGTACCTATCATGTTATTTGCTACTTATGTTTTGATAAAAACAAGAGAGAACGCTACAGTCGAGCAAGCCCGACAGTGAAATACCCTGTACCCAGACACTCTTCCATTTCTGAGTTATATGCACCCATAACAGAAGCAAAAAAGAGGAAGAAGAAGAGCGAACTTGTTGCTGCAGTTTGGGGGTTGTACTGGAAAGAATTTTTTTCGCTAATAACTTTTCATAGAATTGACCGAACTGGATAAAGTTTTAAACTAAAGTAGATAACTGTACACAGTTTGCGTGCGCTTAGTTTGGTTTATGTAGCTTTTAAAATTGGACTGTATTGGCAAATTTCAGTAGCTGGGGAAGGGGGGGGGAAATTACAAAAAATAAAATAAACTCGTCCTTTCTCGGACCAGATTCTTCTGGATACCAATTTTGGTTATTCTAGCTTTTATAGTTTCTGAGATCCTTACGTTCATCCAGACAGACAGACAGACGGACGGACGGACATGTCTAGATCGATTTCTCTCGGCATGCTGGTCAAGAATATATACACTTAATGGGGTCGGAAATGCTTCCTTCTGCCTGTTACATACTTTGCACAAACCTAATATACACTTTTTACCCTACGGGTACAGGGTATAAAAAGATTAAATTTAAAAACCAATTATGCCTGTACGACTTTGGTATTCAATTCTTTTTTTTAATGGATTTAAAGGCAAACCCTAGTGTCAGTTTATTTTAAAAAATATGTTCTAAATTTGCGGCCTTGTTATGTATATACTTCGTAATCTACAAATAAGTATATATGTATAAATTGAAGAAAATTAAAAAATATATTTTAAAAACAGCATTTAACGAAAATTTATCACGCTATATTTCAATTGTAGAAATATCACAAAACATTCATTTATTATTAAATTAAACAGAAATAAAATTTGTATATTCAAATTACAGATCGTATATTTTTGAAATTTTCCGTTTAAAAGCCATTTCAATGCATTAGTAATATAATCAAAACTTTATACATCTTCGGTATGCCGAAGTGATTATATCCTTGTGAGAATCCTTGCAGAATAATGAACAATAAATTTTGGCTCGAACGTCCAGCTACAAAAAAATAATCTTACAATTTTTAATTGCAAACTTGCTTTTTTTTTAAGTTATAAGTCAATAACTGAAGAGGTTGCCCTCATAAATTCAATGTATGTTTTTGTTAATTTGTGAATCAGTTAGAGCCGAAACTAATAAATAATATTTGGATTTCTTTCCTGTTACGGTTCAAAGTTAACACGATATTGTTAACACTAGTAAATATTACCTACTCTGCTCGTAGTAATTGGAAAATTGTTACATTGCAACTAGGCGTTCGATGCTTACTAAATCATTTTTCTGCATTCAACAATTTGGCAAGGACATAAAAGAAAAATCTGGAACAAGTGTACAATATTTCAATTGCAAGTTTTTCCATGATTCATAAATAATGAGCAACAATATTTTGATAAAAAGATGTAGCTTCTAAGTAGTTTAACTGTGGGCGTAGGCAGGGGAGCGCAGGGGGGCCGTTGCCCCCCCACCCCCCCTACAAAAAATGTAGCCATATAAAGTCGACAAATTTTCGACACTATTTCGCCTTAAAATGGAGTGGATTTGTTGCAGTTTTTTCATTGATCATATGCATGTTATTTTTAAAATGCATCGTGCATTATTTAATATAAATTTTAATTTACCCCCCCCCCCCCCCCCTGCATACGCCCTTGACTGTGTGGAACATTTTTGGCAAAAAGTCAAAAAATTGTTGCTCTTTTAAGTCTATATTGAAAACTGCCTGAATGTTGGAATAGCTAACTGTTGCGGGCTTGAGAAAATGCCCAAAAGCAAAGCATAAAAATAGTTTACCTTAACAATTGGTCCGAATAAAAGTTAAAAACCCTGTAGGACTTCACAAGCAATTAAAAAACAAATTAATGCCTAATTATAAGGTACTCGTAAGTCTTTACAAGTTATGTTAAATATTTTATTGAAACTCCGCATTAAAATTCGTCATTTACCTTCTTCACAGAACCAGTTGGCAGGGTTTCACCAAAATTTTCAAATTCTCAAACCAGCAGCAGTTTTACTTGCGCGTCCAAGGATAGCTTAACTTTGCTATGCCCCGCACAGGCATATCCAGCACCGATATTTAGGTGGGCCTGCCATTAAAACTTTAGTGTCAGCTTAATTGCTTAGGATAGCCTGTTCTACAAAGGTTTTTTATTAAGTAAGAGCCTAATATAAAGTATTTTTTGTATTTATTGCTGTTGTTTTGCATCATATAAGCTTTGTCAGACATTAAAATCACATGAACCCATTTTTATAAAATAAAAACTTAACATATATTTGACAAGGCATAATTTTATTCAACCCAAAACTGAAAACTATGCGATAAGATTAAAAATCGAGTGGAGAAAGTCGAGTATCTCAACTTTTAAATGTTCTGTACATAGGTGTAGAATAATATAAATAAATTTAAAACAAGAGGGGAATGCTAGACTCGAGAGGACTCAACTCTTAAATACCCTGTACCCACCCCATATAGACAAACAGACGGACAGGACTGTATGCTCGTCACGGCTCGTCTTGTAATCTTTTATATACTTTGTGGGGTCTGCCACGCCCCCTTCTGCCTGATTCATTTGTTCACAACCCCCTCAAACCTAGTATACTCTGGTACTTTCTAAAACAAGTAAAAAAGCTAAAGTCGGGTGTCCCGACTTTGAAATACTATGTACATATGTGTAGAATAATTATGCGTGTATGTCTCGTGTGATATAGGCGATTATACGAATGGAAAATCGGGAAAACCCCCATAGGGGGAAAGTGGGGAGGAACATTAAAAAATAAAACACACTTGTACAGTGTACACAAACAAGGCATCTTTTTTGCAAAATTTGGTGTCTCAAGCTCTTATAGTCTCTGACGGACGTTCAGACAGACAGGGCTAGATCAACTCGTCTTGTCATACTGATCATATATATACTTGGTTGGGTCTTCCACGCCTCCATCTACCTGTTACATTTTTCAGCTCGCGCAAACCTAATATACTCTTGTACATTTCATGTACAGAGTATAATTATACCACTTCAATGTTTACTGGGATATTAAAATGTTTTATATACAAGTGAAATATGCATACAATTATAATTCCTTGTCGCTGATTGGTCGTGTTAACTCCTACCCCGCTTAAGTGAAGGACGTCCTCGGACTTCTTATAACCATCGATGACAGCCAGGATGTCCTGTTGACTTCGAAGCGCCTGACGCTTCTTGTAGAATCTGAAAGAGGCGTAGCAACACTTGTCACTATCACTTGTCGTGATAGCCGCTGTTTCGTCGTTGATGATGATGACGCCGTCGTCGATGACCGTGAATGACTCGAGATGGCTGGGTAGTTGATGAGCGCACGTAGAATTGGGCAATCTCCTACAGAAAGTTTTGTGTAGTTGTAGTGATGTTTTCGTCAGCTATGTTAAGGATGGTGTTATTGTGTTGTACAGGGTACAAGAGAATCTTCTTACATATTAAACTTGGTTTAGGGTATTTAATTAGAAAATGTAAAAAATATTTACTTAGTATAACTCTGATTTGGGCTACTTCCATCAAGTCAGTAATGGTTATGTTCGTAGAACGCTCACTGATTATGTTATTTAAATCGTTAGTGTCTAATATTGCTGGGTTAATAATTCCAATCTTTGTGAGTGTAACAGATAACATAAAAGTTTCAAGTTCGGAAATTAATATTACATTTCTTGAGAGCAAAGTTTCGTATAAGTGTTCTGCGTTTATATGGCTATTCTTTGAATTCATTATTAGCATGTTTACTGTGTCTGTTAACTTATTTAGCTGTCGTTGCGTTTTTGTATTAATATTTACCTGCCTATTTGCAAATTCAATGAGCTCCTGTTGTGTCAGTTTAAATTTTTCAAAGTCGTCAAAATCTGGAGTCCCAGCTACTACCTTTAAAACAGTGCCTAACATATTAATGCTTCTGGCGTGCCGATGGAATGTTGGAATGTTGCTAAGACTGTTCTCGTGTGTCGTATGTCCGAGTCTAGTATCTGTCTCATGTGTGATTGAGGAAAATGGTTCCTCAACTTCTCTGTTTCACCCATCATTTCCGCGTACATTGTTAGATTAGTCGAGTGCTTTAAATATTGGAAATCTTTCCAAATTGTCGTGTCTCCGTCCATGATTGGTATGTAGTCCGAGTTCGAGTAGTCAGTCAGTTTAGGGTTTGTCATTGTGACAAGAAGTAGCATAGTCCAGATCCTAAGTAAGAAAGGAAACCAATATTATATTA